ATTACACGAGATCGTCAGCAAATATATCTCGACTATAGCCATCATCTGTCTTATGATATTGGTCTACGAGGATCGTATTGGTTAATTGGCACGTAGTTTTCTTGGAGCGGTGTTCATAATCAAACGCGATTCGACACCACGCTGCGTAACCGAATTCGTACAAGTTCAAAGTAAACGGGAGAGTAAGTAAGTATAATGGCTGTCATTAGCACAGTTAAACAAACGAGCACAGTAAATCAGTCACTGGTACAAATGGTTATAATGATAATTCTTCTCATTGAACCAATCGCCTTCTGTTAACAAAAGTAGGTTACTACAGGAGCCCCTCGCTAGAAAGGGTTTACACTTTCGATAGTTAGTGGTTTGATTCGTGGGACTGGTCGGCAGAAGTGCGGTTGTAGGACGGAAGAATTGGCGGAACAGGAAGTGATCGTTGATCCTCGAGTTGCCAACGGAGGTCTTTTGCGCAGAAAGATACCAGGAGAAGTGTGTTGCATTTGTTGCTCGAATTAGCATACCACACCAGAGTGGTTTGTATCCAGGATCTGATGATTGCGTTCGTAGGGATGCGAACCAGAAAATGCTGCAGACGTAGGACGAAACCACGTTGAGCCAAGAAACCGGAACCGACCATAACGACCAAGCGCCAAACCAAGCGTATGCCAGGCGAATTCGAGACCAGATAATCGACTGAGTGCGTTGAATAGAGCGTGGGTGATCAGGCCAGCTTTCTCCAAGGTTGACTGAAGTCGACTTTACCAAACGGGCGATGATCGGAGGCGTGAGCTCAGGATACAAAAGAAATCAAAAAAAAAAGAAAAGTGTAGCATGCGTGTAGTATAGGAATAGTTCTACACCGTATCCGTTGTTGACTGTGCGGTTAGTCGCGAAAGCGTACGGGTAATCATACTCGGCGACCGGAAAGTGAGACAGTAGTCTCGTTCGTACTTCGTAAGCCTGCAATCTCATCCGAGGTCAAGGGCGGCGTGGTCTGCCGATCTGGACGTGAGACGGAAGTCTCGTCCGTAGATGGTGCAGATGGCACGTGCTGTTGACCGGGACGCGAGAACGACGTCTCTGATGTATCTAGGTAGATGTAGAGATCCCGCTAATGGGTTTGATAGGTCTAGCATTAAGTCTCAAGTTATCGGGTAGGGCACTGTCATCGGCGTGTGCTGGTTCGAGACGATCAATGCTGACGATCTCGATGCGGCCGTGTCGATCAACCTTGAAGGCCTTTTCGTGACGAGAGATCACGTGAAACGGTCCTTCGTAAGGCTGTTGCAAAGCTTTGCGTACCGAATCTACCCATATGAAAACATGTGAACAGGTAGATAACTCTCGAGAGAGAGAGCGACCTGTCGATGTTGTATTCGAGTTGACACCGAAGGCAGTGTTCGCAAAAATGCAGACAGTCGATGGACGTAGTCTGATTTACCGAAATCATTACTGCTCCGTGGTGTGAAGAATTCCCCAGGCAGACGCAATGTCGTGCCGTATACAAGTTCAGCGGCGGAACATTGGATATCTGCCTTCAAACTCGTTCTGATACCTAAGAGAACGAGCGGTAAGGCTTCGTACCAATTATCGTTTTCGTGTGCTCGAAGAGCACTTTTAAGTTGGCAATGAAACCGTTCGACTAAACAATTCGATGCTGGATGGTAGGCGGTAGTGCATATGCGTTCCGTACCAAGCAGCCTGGTCAGTGAGGAGAATAATGCGGACTCAAATTGTTGACGTCGGTCAATCGTGACAGTCGAGGGACAACCGTACATCTACATCTACCTCGGATCCCATGCTAGATACATCAGAGACGTCGTTCTCACGTCCCGGTCAACAGCACGTGCCATCTGCGCCATCTACGGACGAGACTTTGTAACAGCTTAAGTTGGTTGTTAAGAGTTAATCTCAAGCAACTAAGCATATATCAAAACAGCATAGTTTAGATATTCATTCACTTCTTTATTTTGTTTAGGCGTTATATTTCTAACTATCTTATATTGCATTTTGAGAGGTTTTGTTTGTCTGAGTAAGAAATCCCACGCTCCACTGTTACTGCGCGAAGATAAAAAAATAAAGACCTATTTCTCTACGAGTCTGGTTTCTTCTATTAATAACGCGAGGGTTACCATAAGGCACGAAAACTTCCGTCTCACGTCCAGATCGGCAGACCACGCCGCCCTTGACCTCGGATGAGATTGCAAGCTCACGAAGTACGAACGAGACTACTGTCTCACTTTTCGGTCGCCGAGTATGATTACCCGTACGCTTTCGCGACTAACCGCACAGTCAACAACGGATACGGTGTAGAACTATTCCTATACTACACGCATGCTACACTTTTCTTTTTTTTTGATTTCCTTTGTATCCTGAGCTCACGCCTCCGATCATCGCCCGTTTGGTGAAATCGACTGTGTTCGTTTGTTTATCTGTGCTAATAACAGCCATATTGGTCTTCCATTGTACTTCATTACTTCTACGCGGTTTGTGACTGCGCACGTACTTTTTCTTGCCGATCTCATTTGTACTCTTTTCGCACGATCTTGGTATTCTTTCGATACCACGAGATTGCCAGCAAATATATTTCAACTACTACTATTATCTGCCTTCTGATATTGGTCTACGAGGATCGTATTGGTTAATTGGCACGTAGTTTTCTTGGAGCGGTGTTCATAATCAAACGCGATTCGACACCACGCTGCATGTCGGTAGAGCATTTCTGTTGCATGTCATCTGCCTATTCAAAAACATGATTATCCTATTATATCAGCGTGACATCTAATTTCCATTCATTTCGGTTGGACACACAATGCTGGCTGAAACAGATCAAGTTTAAAGCCAAGTTGTCTTTAATCTGATTATAGCTTTCACATAAACTCTGGGGTCATCAGTATCGCGTTTGCAATTTTAATGGAAGATTTGTAGGACAAATTAAATCCTAAAGTGGCCTTAGACTTGAATTTTTCCGTTAATTTGTTATTGACTACTAACATTTCCCTTACTTTAAATAAGAATTGTGTTGGAGATTCGGCAGAATGATAACATGATCTGATCTGATAACTTTCTGTCTTACAAGCTGCACGTAGAGGTCCTTGAGTGTGAAACAATTGGTCTCAGCCAGACGTTTGGTTTACATGACTTCTGTGTACCATAATCACATGTGCATTGTTCTAACAGACGATGTTGCTTTGCAAATCGTCCGATTTTAATAATTTTGTTGAGGGTCCGATTGATATGACTACCTAGGTCTTGAATAAAGTTAGTTTCCTCTTGTTGATCTGTGCTCATGCCTCGAAATAATCCTGCGGTCGTCCAAACGTAGTCATATTGGTCGGTGACTACTGTGGTCTGCACTTCGCATAGTATTCTTTCTGGTTCTTATTTTCGTTAAAGCTCTTTGTTTCATGTGACAGGTTTAGGCATTATTGTTGCCATCAGTGACCGATCATTTCAGAGTCTTTCACAAATGAGCACATCACCAACTATCCTATTATCTTCATGTACGAGTCTAGAAGAAGAAACAACACGATTTATAATATAGCCTGATGTGTTTAACTGAGCAGACCCGATTCAGAATAGGCGAAGTGGTTAGTTTAGTTAAGAGTCAATTAACTGCTACAAGGGTGAGCAATAGAACTATTAAAACCTAGATTCCAGTTAAAGTTAAGACCCAAATTGCTGACCGATTTTTACTTATGCCTGTTACTCCTCGTGGAGGATCATAGGCAAAGCACAAGTGTTCTCAATACTACTCTGTCCAGAGCAATCCTTTTCGGTTGTTATTCATTCTTTATTTTCTGCTTCCGATACCTGGCGTAATAAGTTCTTGGGTCTTCCTCTTTTCTGTCTCTCTTCAGGATTCCAATTTGAAACCCTCCTCATGATGCAGCATGGCGATTTCCGCAATGTGTTCCCTATCAACTTCTAGCGTCTTTTCGTTCTCTCCCAAAGTAGGATGTTGCCGATGGTATCCGGCTAACGGACATTGAGCATCTTGCGTACAGAATGGTCTGCAAATACATGTAATCTTGTTGCGGCAGTTCTCCGAGTTCCAGACCCGCACAACAGAACTGTCTAAGATGCTGCCTTTGATGATGGCTGACAGATGTTTTGTGATCCACATGTTCTTCAATTGTAGGATTGCTGCCCTTGCTTTTCCAATTATTGCATTCACATCTGCGCCATACCCTCCTTGTTCATCGACGATGCCGCTGGTCAGCTAAGTGAAAGTCTCCACATGTTCCATAGCTTCTCCAGCAAGTACGGTTGGGTTTGTGTTCTCGGTGATATATTCGGGATCTTGGTTTTTTCCTTTTATGCGTATTGACCAGCTGGCTTAGATCTTTTCCATGTTAGGCATCAGTATTATAGAACAGCTATACTTCCGACTAAAAATTCTTCAGAAGGAAATGCGGATAAAATCTGATATATTAAACGACGAAATTGAGAGGTGTTATTAACGAAACCCATCCAAGAACGATATCTTAAAACCAATACACGGAAAGAGACCACTATTGAAGAAGGAAAATGCTAAAAAAAGATAAATATTAACTGTGATTCTAAAATTTATACACGAAACAATCAGATGTGGGATAACAGATCTCGGAATTTAACGCAAATTGTATTCACCCACTCGTTTTGGCATTTTGGCTGCTGTCAGTTGGTGATGGAAACCATAAATACAATTCCTAGCCATAACTGTCAATTTTAAATCATAATCCTAATTGTTCTCAATGCTTTATAAGCCTTCTTAGCCCTAGTAAGTAGGTGGACATTCTCTAGGTCATTTTGGTATCGTTCAATGGGCATCCGAAAAATGATCTCACTGTTTTTAGGATTATTTCTAGCTAAAAATGCGACGAAAAGCTTTAATGTCATTTTTACAGTAGTCTTTTGAATATTTTCACGAGTTACGTCACAGAGAATTTAATTGTTTTTTGTCCCTAATTATGACGTTCTTTCTCTAGGTCAAATGTTCGCAACCGCTTAGTAGCTGTTTGATGCGGAGGATTGTTGAGATTCCTAGGTCTCCGAGTGGTTATGGGTTTCGTTTGAAAAATGAACGTCCTTGCCTCATAGATCATGTTCTAACTGGGTCTAATGCAGAAAAATCAGGGGTTAGAGCTGGTGATATATTGCTCAAAGTGAACGGTGTGAATGTTATTAATGTTACTCACGAAGAAGTTGCCTCGTTGATTTGGCGATGCCATAAAAAGTTATCTATTGAGGTTTCTATGCTTCCGACTGTAATATATCTTTAGGTAGAGTCACAGGAATCAAAGTCTAGCCAATGCATCATTGGTTCTTTAGAATCCAATCATCAAGATTCACAATATATGATTAGTTCGAAACACAAAACTTTTAGCAGAACGACCTCCGTGTTGGTTTATGCAGGTTGTGTGTCAGTGCCTACTGATTTTAAGTCACATACTGAAGAATTATCAATTCTAAGGAGGAAAACTAACACTGTGGTTAATAAAATACATGTCCATGCGATCTCAATATGCTTGGTCGATATCTGTTTAGGTGTTCTCCAGGTTCACCTTCATGACACATACACTGCGAAATACCCGGTTAGCTGTTTGTACTCAGCTGGTCATGTTGATTCCGATGAAAAGTTTCTTTACATTGTTACTCGCAGTAAGAACAAAGGTAATACAAATACGATGAAATTCAGTGAGAACTGTGGTGAGTTTTGGTTGTTCATTTCTATACGTATTCATATTTTTACGCCGAAGATTTTCAGCATAGCTCCATTCCTATCCTGTTTATAACGTAGGGTATATCATTAAATTGTAAGCCACTATACACCTCTTACACATATCTAAGTATTTTTCGTTGGGCACTATTGTTGAGCACGTAATTTCACAGTTTTTGGACAACACTTACGCTTTTACAAAACGTATGGCATTGCCATAGTCGTTTAAAATATGTTCGAAGAAATTAAAATCACATCTAAATAACCTCATTACCTGGTACATTTTTTCCTCAACTTCCACAAGGCACTTGTGTATTATGAGACTCAGTCATTGATAACAAAAGTTGGACTTCCTATTCGCTTTTATTACTCATCTCAGAGGACTATCTAATTGTTTCTGCTTGCTTTTGAATGGATTCTCAAGAGTCAAAGGATCCAGTTTTCAGTCACTGGGCCTCAGGTTCGACCTCCACACCACTGATATATTTACTGTGTGTATACAAATATCGTCACTAGATAGGACTTACTCCTGGCACCGCTGAGACTAAGGCTATCAACCCTTGGTTTATATGAGTGTTTGTCATTTAATGATAGTTTCGGAGTCCTGCAAAAAGACAGTTCCAACATTCCACATGTTTATTATGTTTATGTAACCTGTAGTGATAAGCTTAAAGTAACATAATTTCTCAAACTACTCTCTTCCAAGGAAAAAATGCTTCTGTTAAGTTAATGAACTGTCATGTATTCAGAACACTACCAGCAAAATTTTTATCACATTCGGGTCACATAACGATTGCAAAGACGTTTGGAATAAACTGTTCATATGACCGCCTGACTGGTGAGTGCTGTAATTTTCCTTCCAGCACTACTTGTGCATTATCCCATTTACAAACTATGCTGGGGAATTCAGGATTACAAAACACTATGAATATTGGAGATCTTCGGAGCGTTTCACGACGAAGTTCCGAAATCTATCACAGTTCAGCTGATATTTCTTCGACAGAATTTCACATGAAATCAAATTCAATAGCAATGAGTTTCCGGGATCCAAACCATCATGCCAATCAGGTAAATGTTTCCTAATGTCACCCTGAGGACTCTTCAGTGGACAAATGCTTTTCGGCAAAATAATTCGTAATTACTTTAATCTACTTTTCGTAAAATTTTTTAAATAATGTAAAAGTATACCGCCTCTATCTTAATGATCTGTCAAGTATTCCAGTAACTTACATTCATTGTTGGACCTGGCGCGCACCTGTTTCAGGTCAAATTAATACATAATTCAACTGCAGTCAAAAAGACCAGCGGGGTAATATATACATGGTTACTTTGTTGTTAGTTAACTACGCGTGAATCAACATATCACCATTATTCATATTTTACTTGTTAGAGTGAGAATAATTTGTAGCAGTGTAGAATAAATAAAGTAGCTAAGAGTGAGTGTCTCTGTCTTCGATTAGTTCATAGACAGTTGCAACTCAACAGTATTAGATTTTAGCTTCTTGGAGGCTGATTTCTAAGTGTACCTGGAATAGTAGAATAGTGGTTTGTTGTTTAAAACATTCTTTCTATTAATAGGTCACAGGTTCCCGACCGTAGCTGCTACCTTGACGTGGTGGTCGGGCTTGCCAATCGTGATGACCTAACCTTCAACGTTCGCACACTTATGCACGTCGCACAACAGATAGGGCTGGCTATGTCTTTGGAAAGTCCTAATATCGACGTTTGTTGTCTATCCGAGACCCATATTCAAGACTGGTAGAGTAATACAAGTTCGCTCTCCATCTGTCGCTTCAAAAAGCTTGTTTTATGTGCGTTTATCCAGGGACCCTGTGGCATCTTCGTCTGGTCATGCTGGCGTTGGTGTCGCACTAAGCGCTAGAGCTGAGGCAGCACTAACCGATTGAATCCCCATTAACGATCGGTTATGTGTTGTTAGATTAGAAAGTTCCATCAAAGTGAGGAGAAATCTGTGTGAGAAACGATGTCTTTTCGTCATCTCCGCCTATGCCCCGACAGATTGCAGCCCGGATACAATCAAGGATGAATTCTACCACCAGTTAACTGTTCTCTAGAAAGTGCGTTCGACAGATATTGTAGTACTAGCTGGAGACCTGAATGCTCAGGTCGGGCGTCTAGGCACAGAAGAGAGTCGTTTAGGTGGCCGATGGGGACTTGTTGGTCGCAGGACAGATAACGGGGAACGTCTACTGCAACTATGCACAGACCACAACCTGTTTCTGGCTAGCACTAATTTTCGGCACAGTCATCGCCGACGTGCCACCTGGCGTCCTCCCTCTGCATCTCAAGCCTGGACTCAGATTGATCACGTCGCGATCAGCTACCGCTGGCGTGTTTGTGTACAAGACTGCCGCTCCTTTTGGAGTGCCTATCTGGAATCTGATCATGCCCTGGTCTGCGCCAATCTTACCTTACTTTTCAGTGGCCAACGAAGTGATTGCCACCAAAGGACTGATGTCAGCAAGTTGGTTGCAACTTCTGTTTCTAGTAAGTATCGAACCGAGCTAGCTTCTAGGCTAGCTACCATTCCACCGAAAAGTATAGATGAGCATTGGTTGCAATCGCATGACGCCACGAAATTGGCGAGTCAAGGCAGTTGTGGGTTCGCGAAACGTCCCACTTGTAAGCACTGGGTTCCTTCTGGTTTCTTACAACTCATTGAAGTCCGTCGGTTTACTCCGGGTAACCATGAGTTTGACCACAAACGAAGGCTGTTGCATAATGAAATCGGGCAAAGCTTGCGTAAGGACCGAGAAACCTGGTGGTCGGAGCGTGCTAACGGGCTGGAAGCAGCAGCTGCATCTGGTAACTACCGGAAGCTCTTCCAACTCATCCGAGTCACTGGCAGCAAGAAGTCTGATGTTAGCGAAACAATCTTCGAGGATGACGGGGTGCCAATCACTAACATCCATCGGCGTCTTGGACGATGGGCAGAATTTTTCGAAGGGCATTTCAACTGGCCTGCTGCTCCGGCAACATCGGCCAGACTGTCCTGCCCTCCATGGCCGGTGATGACCGATCCACCGAATGAGGCGGAAGTCCGCAAGGAACTCCAACTCTTGAAACGTTACAAATCAGCGGACCCAGATGACTTACCTCCGGCTCTTTTTAAAGATGGTAGTGACTTTCTGACTAAGGGACTGACGACGTTGTTTACAAAGGTCTGGGAGCTAGAGAGTGTACCAACGTCATGGAATGAGTCGATAGTTGTCCCTATCTTTAAAAAGCGTTCACGTCGTTCCTGTAACAAGTATCGGGGGATAAGTCTACTTCCGATTACGTCCAAGCTGTTGGCTTCCGTCATACTTCGTAGGTTGTTCAAAACCCGAGAAAGATTGACTCGTGAGGAGCAGGCTGGTTTTCGTTCCGGTCGAGGATGTATTGATCATATCTTCACCCTCCGCCAAATGTTAGAACACCGTCATACTTATCAAAGACCAACAATCGCAGTGTTTCTTGACATCAGGGCTGCCTTCGATTCGTTGGACAGGACTGTTCTCTGGGATTGTCTATTGAAGAAGGGTGTGCCTGAAAAGTTTATTAACATCCTAAAGACCCTATATGCAAACACTTCAGGCAGAGTGAGGGCATGCAACCACCTCTCTCTATTGTTCCATTCAAGCAGTGGGGTTAGGCAGGATTGCACAATTTCACCATTCCTCTTCAACTTTTCCATCGATGACATTCTGGAGACAGCTCTGATGGATGTAAGTAATGGCGGTGTGGATCTGTTGCCTGGAGAAGGACTTCTCGACCTTGAGTATGCGGATGATATTGTCTTATTGTGCGAGAATGCCCAAGCCATGCAATCCGCACTTAATCAGTTGGCAATCAATGTCCGTAGGTGTGGTATGTGCTTTGCACCCTCGAAGTGCAAAGTACTTCTACAAGACTGGCAGGATTCTAATCCTGTACGCACTCTGGATGGTGAGCAAATAGAAGTAGTCCAGAAGTTCGTGTATCTGGGTAGCTGCATAAGTGCTGGTGGTGGCGTGAGTGATGAGATCAATGCACGTATAGTGAAAGCCAGAGCGGCTTATGCCAATCTGGGCCATCTTTGGCGTCTTTATGATGTCAGTCTGGCTGTAGAAGTTCGGATCTACAACGCGGCGGTGAGAGCAGTTCTGCTCTATGCTTGTGAAAACTGGCCATTAGACGACTCTCTGTGTTCGATCATCGCTGTCTCCGAAGGATTGCTGACATTCAGTGGCAATACCATGTCAATAATGCAGAGGTTTGGCATCGTGTGTTCGGGCACAGAGACGATAACTCAATTGGTGTCACCATCTTGAAACACTGACTTCGGTGGCTTGGACACGTTCTACGAATGTCGTCCCAGAGAATTCCACGTCGTGCATTATTTGCCGACTCTGGGACTGGTTGGCAAAAGCGGAGAAGTGGTCAGTGTATGACATGGTGTCGTGGTATGAAAGAAAGCTGCAAAGGGCTGGCTTGTGTTGGTCCTTCACGACTCCCTGGCTGGGGTCCTAGAGATGGTGCAACACAGTGGCTAGAGACGTTATCAGATATGGCTCAGAATAGAAGCCAGTGGCGATCCTGCTGTAACCTTCTTTTACTTCATAAAAATGGT